AGAATGCTAGTCTTTCATCATATTTTGGTACCTTGGCTACTAATGTTTAATTGTAAAGTCTTATTGGCGAGTTTTTCATAGTTCTATTTCGTTTGTTCGTATGGAGGCTAATGTAGCGGCTCATATTTTTGATAGGCGAAGAGGAACCAAAAGTCTTGTCAGATTCTATCCCTCCTGATTATTGGCTAGTTTTTCTTCTAGCTCTATTTTGTTTGTTCATATGAAGACTAATATAGTGGCTCATATTCTTGGCTCTGTGTGGGTTTCTACCCTTCTTGAATTTGGAATCAAATTTTGGCTCCAAAATCAACTAAATCTTGCGACATGTCAATATGCAATTGACGGGGGTCCGGGGTATATTCGAGCCGGGCCGAGAGTAATGATTTACGAGAAGGGTCTGGTTTGGGGTAAGAACTACTCCCTCCGTCCCACTCTCTTTGTCCACTTACCTTTTGGCACACCACCCAATGCACTTCTTTAATCCATTTTATCTTGTAATTTGTATATTAAAAAATTATATATTAATAATCTATATGTTAATACAAATCAAACAAGATCACACATGACTATATTTAGGCTTACACATTGAGCAAATTTGATGAGTCAAAATGCTTAGATGAACAGTTTTAAAAGTCAAAAGTAAACAAAGAGAGTCGGACGGAAGTAATATTAATTTTAGGGAAGAAAGTATCCTGGATACCATATTCGGAGCTATGAGATGACATGAGACATGAGGGGTTAATCTCAACCGAAACGCCCTTTATTGGAAAGAAAAAACTAAAAAAGGCCTCTGGACGGTTATGAAGGCCTGTGTTATCGCGGCACCTTTCAATCAGAAATGAGAGGGAAAGATAACCAAAGAACCATTCCATAAACCTAATCGATCTTTCTCCGGGCGTGTTTCAGATTCAGAGGTAAGTGGTTTTCTCAAAAGTTGCCAGGGACATGAACTTTTCTTTTTTCGAAAAAAAAATGAATTTTGTGGAAATAATTCCCAAATCTTGACTTTTTTTCTTGATGTTTGCATCAAAGACAGGTTTTTTATTGCTGGGTTTTGACCAAATTTCTTGTTGGAGCATCGATTCTTCATTGATTCATCCATACAAGATTCATGTATGCTGTTGTATTCTTGGAATTTACTGTTTTTTGCTTTTGATTTCCCAGATAGGGTTTGGTTAAATTTCTTGAAATCCCATGGGACTTTCAGGTAGGATAATTATTCTCGAAATCAATGTTTGGGTTTGGGAGAAAGCCCCCGGCGCCAGGGGGGTCCACGAATGCAGGTTCCGAAGAGAAAAATGGCGGTGCTGGGATAACGGCAGGGAGGAGGACGTCTTCTGAACCGGCACTAGATAGCATGTCCGTGCAAGAGCTGGAGAACTACGCCGTGAACCGGGCAGAAGAGACCACTAACACCGTCAACAATTGCCTGAAGATTGCGGAGGACATCCGGCAGGACGGGTCTAGGACGCTGGAGATGCTGCATCAGCAAGGGGAGCAGATCCATAGGACCCATGAGATGGCTGCCGAGATGGACCGCGATTTGAGCAAGGTTCGCCCGTGCCTGGTCCCACTCTTGTGTCGAGGGCCCCACGTTTGGGGTCGGTCTAGTTTGAAGTTTTGAACACCGCTTATTGTTTGTAGTGGCGGAGGCAGGGGGAACAACATGGTACATGCCCTCTAGGAGGGTACGTCCCCCCTCCCCCACTCCAAGGCGATTTCGACAAAGGTGTCTTTCTAAAACGCAATCCTGCCTCCGCCACGGGTTGTTTGCAATCGATTGTGGTAAGTGTAAGATAAATGTACATTGCAGGGGGAGAAGTTGTTGAATAGTCTTGGGGGCATGTTCTCTAAGCCATGGAAGCCAAAGAAGACTAAGGAGATCTCTGGGCCTTTGACTTCCAGAGGTGTGTGTTTTTTCCTTCTTTTATAACGGTCAAAGTGTTGCACTGAAGACAGGAAAATATCAAATTTGGGGAAATGACTTTTTTGTTTATTATACTTGTTTTATATGTGCATTTTCAGATGACAATAACTACAAAGCAAAGCAGAGTAGGAAAGAGCAAAGGGAGAAGTTGGGGTTAAATGGGAATAAGGGGAAATCAGCTCCCGCAACTCCTCTGTGCGAACCGACGAACGCATTGCAGAAAGTAGAGATGGAGAAGGCAAAGCAAGACGACGCGCTCTCCGACCTCAGCAACATATTGGGTGAACTCAAGGGAATGGCCACTGAGATGGGCAGTGAACTTGACAGGTTAGCCATCAATAACATCACATTTAGTCCTTGTTTGGCAACAACATCAGCGTGTTTATCTTTAGTGCTTTCAAGACGATGTTTCCAAACAAGGTCTTAGCATTGACCTTCAACCTTTTGCAAAAGACTATCCAACGACAGCTCTTACACGTTAATTATTCAAAACTTTTAACGCTAATTAAGAATGTTGTTTTCTAACGGCTCCGCGACGAATTATAGGCAAAACAAAGCTTTGGACCATCTCGACGTGGACGTGGACGAACTGAACTCGCGGGTAAAGGGCGCCAATCAACGCGCCCGTCATCTGCTTGGGAAGTGAAGGGCACACGACACGATTTTGGCTCATCTTATGTGTTTTTCATCTTCTTGAATTTCCAAATTTTGCTTCTTGTAGATTTGATGTTGATTTTTTTTTTTGTAAAAAAATGTTGTTTATTTTTATTGTGAATATGTGTAATAAATGGTGTTCAAAGATTGGGTGCATTTGGTTAATGAAGCTTTGAAATTAAGCCAAAGCCCAAGATGTAGCTGTCATTATGCATTAATCATCATCGTAATCAGGTTTGACAATCTTCATAATATTCATTGTCCCACAGACCCACACACACAACCTTAATAATTATGTGTCATTTCAAGTCTCTATTCTTAGGTTCTCTTCTTTTTCTTTTTGATTGAAATTACAGAATGCTATAAACAAAATTGGAAAGAATTGACAATTATTGAAAGTTCAGAATTACAATCCAAAGTGTATAGAGCTTTAGATCAATTTTCTAAAGCTTGGGTTTATTTTAGTTGCACTGTTTGAACAGTTTTCGCCCTAATTTAGATTGTCTCTTCATTACTCATAGACTAAAGTTTTAACGGTTTCAATTGTCAATTTTGGTACTCATTTGGTAAAATAATATACTCATGTCGTATTTTGTTTTATAGAGTGAGAACGAGTAACTCTAATGAAGTTTGGTTAAAATTTGCTCATTGGGAAGGAGGGGCATATCTTTGTTTGTAATGACCAATTGACCATGTCAACAATATCAATCTAAACCCAACACAAGACATTTTCTAGTGTTGAAGATTTTAAAATTTCATCTCATTATTCTTCTATAATAAATTTAATTGAAGTCCCTAAAAGGAATTACGGAGTAATTAAGATGAGCAATATCAAATCGTTATTTTGTTATACGAATTACGGAGTACCATAAAATCCAATCAAACATTCCGTTTTGCACCAAAAGTAGTGCCTGAATTAGACCTAAGGAAATGATTGCAGATAAATCAAGAGTGCATATATATTTCATCTCTTAGAATATTTGTCCAATATGACTTTAAAAAATATTAAAATGTAAATTAATATCGATATAATTTTTAAATCACTCATTCAAAATATAATGTATTTAAAAAACTAATAATCGATATAGTTATACACGAATGAGAGAGTACATTAAAATTAAATTACCTCAGTTCTAAGAACATGAATTACAGTGGTGGCCCGGCACTAAGGGTCTTGGAGAACTTTAATCATGCATGGTCTCAAATCTCCGGAACTCGCAGAAAAAATTGGGTTTGTTATGAATCATAGTTATTCTACTGATGCATGCTACAACCAGAATATTCATTTAGTTTTTCGAAAATCAAATTCATTTCAATCTTTGTTACATAGTACTTGTTAGCTTATGCAACTTTTTTAAAAAAAATGTGTGAACATTTTTCTTTAAATTACTGAATTCTCTTTGAATTTGTAACAATTTACTTCCTCACAGAAAATAGTCTCATTCCAAATAGTGTCTTATTCCACATAAAGACTCAGAGCTTCATAGTATTTGATTTTTTTATAAATGCATGGCCAGGGAATATTTTAAGAGTTTTCTGTTAGGAAATGTGAAATCCTTTAATGTACTCGGTATTAATTAGCGGCCAATAATTTATTAAAGTGTTTTTTAGTTCCATAATAATAATGACCAAATCAAATTTACAAAAGGTCAAAATAAAGCCATATTTTCTCTACCTGATCTGATTAAAATAAGTTCTGATAATCTGATTTTATCTGGTCCAGTCTAATTTGGTCATAGTATTTATTATTACTCTGAATACGGGATACTATTTTCTATTTTAGTCCATTCTTTCTTAATCTGGGATATGTCATTGGTGACTTCATATTCACTCTTTACATTGATAGATCATGTTCGGCCGGTTATGGTCATGTATGTATTCTATTTTAAGTTAAAAAGTATTAACCTAAGAAATTACGAGAACAGCCTAATCTAAAATGAACAAATTTATTTGTAAATACGTCCAAAATTTGGGGAAAAAATCAAGAAGTTTAACGTTCAGATGAATAAACTTCGTCATCACCTACTAACTACTAAGACAATGTACATTAATTCTCGTGTTGAAAAATGTTGCATTCTTCGAAAATCAATCAAAGGTGAAATATTAAATTAAGTAGATCAAATTATTCTTCTTTTTTATATACGTTCGTCTCTCATTTGATATAATAATATACTCAGCTTTTTTTGTTTTCTTTTATTTGTAGATATTTCCATATACTTTGTAAATAATCAAGACTATAAATTGAGACACGAGTGGATTTGGTAGAAAGAAATGTGTAGCTTGATGAGATATTAAATTCTGCAAGCATTGTGCGTGACAAATTTGATGAGGAGGAGGAATTCATACGCGTCTACCCCAACCCTCCTTCCCCACAGACACATTATATATATACCACGTCCACAAATAAATTTTTCGTTCACTATTTATATGATTAAACTTTATTCACTTTGTTGACTTATTTTTGTCACCAATTTCATAAAATAATATAATCATGTCACATGTAATTTTGTAGATAGTTTGCTATATTTTTTTATATGTAATTTTTATTTTTAAATTTTAATCTATTTTTTATATAAAATTATTTAAAAATAATTTCAGTCAAATATCCTCGCCTCTAGAATTTTATTCGTGTAGGGATGGAGTATATATAAATGACCAAGAACAAGAAGTAAAACAAAACTCTGCCTTGAAATAACACCAATCTCTGAGTCGACTCGGAGACCCACAATGAAAATCTCGCCGTCGTCATCTGCAAGAACGCCGCCGTCTAAGTATCATTTGACCGCCGTGATATTCTTCCTCCAATTCATCTTGATCTCATCATCGTCGTCGTCGGCGACCCAGGTTCAGAATTTCCACCATTCTTGCGCCAGTTTCAAGACCGGGCCCTCTGCCGCCGCCTGCTACCAGCTACAGATAATCCTCCGCCGCCGCCCGCCGTCCCGGCCGCCGCACTCGGAGAAGGAGATTGACCCGAGATATGGGGTGGAGAAGAGACTGGTCCCGTCCGGCCCCAATCCCCTGCACAACTGAGGAATCTCCCGCCGCCATTGGGATTTCATCAATTCCTGGAAATTGGTCCAAGAATTCAGGATTTTTTCATGAGTAGCATATAATTTGATAAACCCTTTTCGTTAATTTCTTGGATCAACAGCTGGAATCGAAGATTTACTGGGAGGAAGAAGAAGAAGAAGGAAAAAAGCATCAAATTTCTTCTTCTGTAACAGAGTCTGAGTTCTTGATTTCGTGGCATGCACAACAGAGTAGTACCAGTAATTCTCTGCAACTTTTTGGTAACTTTTCTTTTTTTTTTGGTTAAAAAATTGTTTTTTTTTGGGTTAAAAAGAAATTGAGGGCATTAAGTGTAGGGATGGTGGGCAATTTAGTATAGTACACAGTGTATTTCTTCATGATTGCATAAATGCAGTTGCTGTATGTATAGTTGGATCTTCATCATCATCCTCATCTGTGACGTCTAATATCATTTTATACAGTAGTTATGTTATAGAGTAATTTTCTCTTCTTCTTCTTCACTTGTACAATGATTTTGTTGTTTAAAAAAATGAAAAGAAATGTATGACCTACAAACTTCACCATTTTATCGTTCCTTTAAGAAATTCACACCATCAAATTTTAACTCATAAGTTGCTCAAAACTCATACTCCGTATATAGTTTTGTAAAAGCTGAATATCTTAATTTGAGAATATTCATAAAAAAAAGTTATATTAGAAGTACACCAAAAGTGTATCTCGCTTGTAGACTATCGATCTCTCAACCACCCATTTTTATCTATTTTATACTCTTTTTATTCAAATTAAGAAATTGGTGATGAAAAGGCTATTTTGGATAAAAAGGCTATTACTCAATTATAAATATTCCGAGATAGTTTTGTTAATATATAGGCAACATAGAGAAATCAATTTAAAAAATTGCTTAAGAATAAGTTAGTGAGATCTATTTATTTTTCAGAATTATAATACATAGAAACATGTTATAAGCTGAATTTTAGATTCGAAACATTTTATAATTTTCTTTACTCTAAACAAATTAAGGATATAAATATACAATTTTTTACTTTTCAATATTTTTAAATTATAGTGTACAAATTAAAAAAGATAAAGTTTTTTTTTCAAAAAACTTGGGAAGGGATAGAAAAGGAAACATTTGGGGGATGGAAGGAGTGTCCCCTTTTTTGCCTTGCCTTATTTTTTTTGATCACCATTGCCTAGATGGGTTGGCCAGGTGGGCATAGAACTTACTCCATTGCCTTACCTTAATTAGTTTGAATTAATGAATGTGGGCTTATACCTATTGGGCTACACAGCAGGCCGGCCCATTTCGTATGGAAGGAGAAAAACAAAATTCAAAGTAAGAGAGAGAGAGAGAAAAAACAAATTCTGAAAATGAGAATGTTGTTTGTAATTATACATGTTCTTAAATCAATACTATCTAGTTTTGACTTTTTGTAATTAATCATTTTCAATTTTTTATTTCAAATTAAATAAAAGTAATGTAGTATATTGATTAGAAAATATAATATTTTAAAAATATTTTATAAAATAAATCTAACAAAATATAATAGTATGCATTGATATCTAATACTCCCTCCGTCTCATAAAGTGTTACCCATTTTGACTAAAGTTGAAATTAAGAGAGGGATAAATTTGTGTTGACTTTCCAAAAATACCCTTGATGTGATGGGTAAAAATAGGATGTGATGTGTAGATTATTAGAAAAAAGGTATGATGTTATAGGTAGGGTTTGAAAAAGTAAGGAGTAAAAGTAGTTTTTTAATAGAAATGGGTAAGGAATTGTGGGACGGATGGAGTATTTATTTTGGTGTCAATCTCGTGAAAAAAAGAGCCACGAAATGAATGTGTGATGAATTGAGAAAGAGAGAAAGGAGTCATGGATCTCATGAGATTCCATACCAATTACTTTAAATTTATGCCTTTATGGATATTGTATGTGGCTAGGAAGTACCGTTTTTTCATAGTTTTTTCTGTCTCAAAATAAAATTCTAGTTGCAATTTAAAGTATTTGATTCGAGTTTGTCAAGGAACCAACTCAATCCAAAGCTCGAGTTTGTGGTGGTGGCACAGGAACAGTTATTTATATTCTAACACGTCCCCTCATGCGCATGCGTAGTCTTTTTCAAATCTTACACGTGAAACCTTAATTTTTTTAAACTGGGTGACGATGAGTTTCGAACCCGTGACCTCTTAGTCAACGAGGCTCTGATACTTTGTCAAGGAACCAAATCAACCCAAAACTCGAGCTTGTTGTTGTGGCCCAGAAACAATTATTTATATTCTAACAGAGTTATTTTTAATTTAATTTACTTAAATTTTAGTATAGAAATAAATAATACTCCTTTTGTCCCTGAAAATATGGGAGATTTTGATTTTTAAAGAATTTAAGTGAAGTGTATTTTGGTGTTGAATTTTAAAAAATATTCCTGGATGTGATGGATAAAAAGTAGGATTTGATAGGTAAATTAATATTGAAATAGAAGTGATAGGTAAGTTAAAAATTAGTATGGGTAAAAGCGACTTTTTAATAAAAATAAGAAATTTTTTTGGGATAAATTTCAGGGTCAGGGAGAGTAATACCATTTGTGTTTTAAGAAATATACGATATCCTTCATCATCAATGAAATTGGTTTGATGAAAAAAATCTTTAAAAAAATGTCTAACAAAAGAGATATACGGTCCATTTGGTATAAGGAATTGGTGGAATTGGAATTGAAATTTCATGAGATTTAATTCCATAGAATTGAATTCTGTCAATTCTAATTCATTTTTTGCACTATCAATTCCAAATTCACATAATTTTTGTGCTACCAAACACCATAATTGGAATTGAAGTTTCCAATTCCAATTCCATAATTTGAATTTCATGTACCAAACGGGGTCATAATACTTTTTTTAAAAAAAAATTTGAAACAAATACAAATTGAGTCTACGAATAAAAGAGTAAAAATCATATTTGGAGAAGTAGGGGCGTAAGGATGGGAGTATTAATCTTGTGGCTTGAGGCGTACGTGTAGTAGTAGTGCGCTTTCAAAGAAATATTGAAGTACACTCCTCAATTTGTGTAGCTTCAATCTAAAAAATGAATTGTTCAATGTAGTATACTCACTCAATCAAAATTACATGCTATATTGATGTGATAAAACAATATTTAGGAAATATTTTACAAAATAAATATAATAACCAGTATTATCTATTCTTATTGAAATCTAAAAAACTCTAAACAGTAAGAGTTTTTTTTTGGACCGGAGAGATTATTATCTATTCTTATTGAAATCTGATTTAACCATATCATGTAAGATCAAACCAAATCAGATCAGAAACAATTTAAATATAACCAAAATCAGTTGATCGTATCAAACTTTTATACTATATGACAAATCCAATTAGATCAAACAAAAAGAATAAGCTCTTAGTATGTATCCATTGGATCTAGTTTTATTTAGAACCAAGAGTTGTTCTTTCATGATCTTTTGTGAAATGTATATATCTTCTCACACTCTTTATAGATTTCCAAATGTATCTTTTATTATTTGTAAAAGGCCCAATTCTTTGATTATATCAAAATTAAACACCAATGCAAGGTCCATAATATGAGCATAGACCTTAGGATGGTGTAAGAATTTGCTAAGAAACAAATAGATACATACTTAGGCCTTAGTCTTTTGGGTTGGAAAAATTAACTTCCAACCTATTCAAAATTTTTCTAATTCTTTCAAATCCTTTCAGTTTCTAACAACGGCTTAAAAAAGTATTAATACACGATTAGTATAAAATAACATTACATATTCAAATTCGGAACATATCACCTCCAATACAGACAATGATGGATATTTTATACTCCGTAACATATTTATTTAGATGGATAGTTAATTGAGTGACTTTTTAATACTTAAATTTTCCAATATTTTCCTTTTTCCAACTTCTTCCAGTTTTTTCAACCTCTTTAAGTTTCTCCCAACTCTTTCCAATTTGTTCTAACTTCCAACTCTGAAATACCAACGCAAAAGAAGAGGGTCTAAGAACTTGTTCTTTGCCTGATCTAAATAAATGGTTTATATTCAAAGCTATCTTTTTATTTGATCTAAGTCTATTATAGTTATATTTAAACATGGTTTTTACTTGATTTGGTATGCTCTTGTCCCAATAAACCAACAAGTAATAAGAATAAGTTTAAAAAAAACAAGCTCTAAATTTGTGAAATAATGAGTTGGATGTACCCTTGTTTTACTCCCTATAATACTCCTACGGAGCATTTGTTTTTTTTTCTTCCAAAAACCACCAAATGTTTAGCTGGAGAAAGAGAATTCCACTGCAGCAAAAACTCCTTTATGGGTCTATAAATATGAATAGGGCACACACACACACACACACACATATTGACAGAGAGAGAGAGAGATCTAACCAAACAAAAGCCATTTTTTCTTCTATATATCTTTTTCAAACAAACAGTTAAAGATAGAATAACTTTACAGCAATGAAGAAAATGTGTTGTGTTGTTCTTGCATCAGTAATAATAATGGTGCTCATCATAAGGCCGTGTTTGGCGGACCGAGTGGAGCTCAAGATCAGGGGAGTCACTTCCATTGCAAAAACGGATGATGATTTCGTTTGCGTCACGTTGGACTGGTGGCCGCCAAACAAGTGCAACTACAACCAGTGCCCTTGGGGAACCTCTGGCATTCTCAATCTGGTTTCTTTTTTATTTATACATCTTTTCATTCTTCAATTCTTCTTCTTGAAGTGTAATTGAATAAATTTCCATTTTTAACCCTGGGAAAATGATTTGTTTGTGTGTAGGAATTGCAAAACAAGACTCTCATTAATGCCATCAAAGGTATGCTAATCCATATTATATATCACGCTTCTTCGCATGCCAAATATACTACTCCCTCCGTCACTAAATAAACTTCTTTTATTGACTTTTTGGAAAATTAAGGCGGAGATATTTTGGTGTTGACTTTCCAAAAAGGATAAAAGTGATGTGATAGGTAGGGTATGGAAAAGTAAGGGGTAAAAGTAGTTTTTTAAGGAAAAAGAGAAGTTTTTATGGGGAGAAAGAAAAAACGAAAGGGAAAGTTTATTTGGAAACGAAGGGAGTATTATTAGTATTAATATATTATATTGATTGATTAACATTTTTTCGGAGTCTTAATTTTAAGATTGAAGTTTTGATTGAATTGATTTTTAAGTTAGTGTTTTTGGTTTCTAATAGAAGCAATGAAACTCCACACATTATTCCTACATTAGTAAAGGGCAATAGGTGGGGGACCTATCGCGCAAACGCCCACGAACTTGTGTGCGTACATGAACATACGCTATGATTGGCTCACCAGACTTTTATCATATTATCGGAACCGATATATCTTGTTGAGTTTGAACTCCTAGTCAATTACACTCTGACATATAAGTCTAGCTAATGATCTCTCTTCATATAGCCAATTGATTTTAGGATGAAACCTTCATGAACTTGTGTTGCACTCACACGTTATGATTGGCTTATCAAAGCATACACAGACACTTATGTATTTGTCATTGGCTTACCTGATTTTTTTATCAATTTGTGGTCCCCTTATTTTAATATTAATATTAATTCAATTGTGTAGGAGGGTTATATTGAAATAAGACTAGCTATAAAAGACACCAAAGTTTAAATTTCAAAGAAAATATAATGTGGTTAATTATATTTGTTGGGCGAAATAATCAACGTACATCTGATATATATTCTTCATGTTAGATAATGATGATTGAGGTGTTTGAAATTTGACCAACAGTTGATATCGTTGAGCGACTTTAGGAGTTAAATTAATTGAGTTAAAGACTTAGGCCCCGTTTGGTACACGGAATTCAAATTGTGGAATTGGAATTGAGGACTTCAATTCCAATTTTGGTGTTTGGTAGCACAAAAATTATGTGAATTTGGAATTTGTAGTGGAAAAAATGAATTAGAATTGATGAATTCAATTCTATGGAATTGGATACTAGAAAATTTCAATTCCAATTAAATTCTAATTCCATCAATTCCGTATCCCAAACGGACCCTTAACACTTAAATGGGGTTTGATTTATTTTACTTTAAATTATCCATCCTAATAACAAATTATTTACAAGTATTTTCATATTACTATTATGATTACTATTACTATTATTATTGTTGTTTTTTTTACTGTTAAAATAAATGTATGAAATGAGTACTATATAACTTGTAAATCAACATCATTAATCAGATTTATAATATAGAGACTCTCTAATTTGCTCACATTTGGTTTTTGTACAATTTTTATCGAGCGATTCTTTAATAACATACTGGTATAATTGTCTTTGTTACCTTATTTAAATAAATATAAAAATATGAAATTTAAATTATAACTAGATATTATTTTAAAAAATAATATATGATTATGAGAGTGACAAAAAAATAAACTAATACAATAATTTTAGAACAGAATTAAGGAATAGATAAATACAATGTGAGCGAGGCAACTGCGGAGACTCGTAACCAATATGCATTATTATCACTTCACAAAATGTATAAACATGTTTATCAACTCCGGACTATGTGCTTTTCTATAAATTATTCATCCAAGACTCCCTCCTTTTTTTGAATAAAAATTACGTTACACTTTATATTATTTTTTTTTAAAAAATATAAGTTAAAAAATACTCCGTAAAAATTATGGAATATATATAAGGTTTGGTTACCGTCGATAAAAATATCATAAATCATTCATTTCTTTCTTTTTATGTGGATGTGATAGAAATAAGAAGTAAGAAGTTTTGGTACAATCTTGTACCAAAAAACACTCTTAATTATCGGTACATATCGTTCACGAAATTGCCATGAAAAAATCTAATCCCTCCGTTCCACAAAACCCTTCCGGTTTTGACTTTGGGGAAAAATAAGGAAAGTATAATTTTTGGTTGACTTTCCCATTTTGCCCCTGGTGTGATGGGAAAAAGTAAGATGTGATAGTTTGGTTATTAGTGAAAAAGTATGATGTGATATGTAGGGTTTGAAAAAGTATGGGTAAAAGTGGTTTTTTAATAGAAAGTAGAAGTGTTTTGTGGAAAGCAAAAAAACGAAAAAAGAAGATTTTTGTGGAACGGAGGGAGTACAAGATTGCTTTAATTTGAAGGAAAGTTACTTTAATTTGCAAGACACGATGTACAATCTTTAATTTACAAAAAAAGATAGAAGGCCACCTCCCTTTGTTTCAGTAACGTTCTCTCAATTTTGAACAGGACAGTTATATATACAGAGTATAAGAAAGATAAAAATGAATTTTTAATTTCAAGCAAGCAATAGAGAATACTCCCCCGTCCCAAAAAGATATTCCTGTTTCATTTTTTGCGCGTCTCATAAAACACTTCTATCCCGCCTCAAATGCAAAAAAAAAAACTTTCAAAACAACTTCTACTTACAATAAATGAGAAATGTGGTAAATTTTAGGCATTTTAGATGTGTATAGAAGTGTTTTATAGGATGCGCAAAAAATGAAACAGGAAGATCTTTTTGGGACGGAGGGAGTATATAATATGTCTCAACAAGCATATTTATGCATAACATAAAATATCTCACACTACCTTCCTAAGGAGTCAAACACGGTCACAATATCCTTTTGCACCTAGATTGACCACTTCAGCTCTGTTCCGACTTCCAAGCAAAAAAATTTAATACGCAATTTTTGCAATTTTATTTTTTACTTTCCTATCAAGAGTAAACTTGTCTATTTTGTATTTAAAAAAAAACAAAACTGTTATTATATGTTTTCTTCTACTTTTTTGGACATTTTTCAAACAATTTAATTTCGTTAGATGTGAAATATTACTGTTCCATGTCACAGCGTTCGATCGTCTTAGGGTGAGAATAGGGGGTTCATTGCAAGACCAAGTGTTGTACGAGGTTGGCTATGGAGTCAAAGACTGCCCTGGTTTCAATCGAACCGACAATGGCTTGTTTGGCTTCTCCGGCGGTTGCCTTTCCATGGAGAGATGGGATGAGTTGCACCATCTTTTCAACCAAACGGGGTACAATATAATCACTAGTTACTTCAATTTCTTTTACTCCTTCGGTCCTTAGAAGATTGTCACAGTTTGACTTCTTGTGTCTAACTGTGACATCCTTTAATCATAAATTAAATATAGTTTAAAATGATTTAAACATTATAACAATATGACATTTCAAAACTATATTTACCAATAAACCTAATTTTACTAAATATATGTTTTCGATAATTTGTGATCAAAAGGTAGCACGGTTTAACCAAACAAGTCAAATTGTGACAATTTGGACAAATTATATTTGAGGTCATTTTGACGTTTTCATGAAGCGCAGGGCTGTAATGACTTTCGGGTTGAACGCTCTATTTGGAAGGAAAAAGTCGAAAGACGATAATGCCCTTTGGGTGGGTGATTGGGACTCCCAAAATGCAAGGGACCTTATGGAGTACACTTTTTCAAAGGGATATAAAGTTGATTCATATGAACTTGGTAAGAAGAACCACCCATTTTTACCCCTTCCACTTTTGTAAGTCATATGGCAAAATAGTTTAATCTATTGATTTTTTTAGATTAAGATGTTTGGTTACATTTATATATGTCAATTTAATAACCAAGTACTTACTAAAAAATGTTGTTGGTGAGCATAACACAACTGGTTGATATCAGGGGTCACTGGAGGTAAATTTGAGTTTGAACCGTGGCAATTACACGAAGTTGTAAGCCTATTGTGATATTTTGTGTAGGGAATGAGTTGTGCGGAAGCGGGGTGGGTGCAAGAGTAGAAGCCGACCAATATGGAAAAGATATGTTGACTCTTAAAAAAGTCGTAGAAGAGATTCACCCAAACCCAAGCACCCGACCGAAGGTCTTGGGCCCGGGTGGATTTTATGACGAGAAATGGTTCAATACCTTCCTCCAAACCTCGGGTCCCAATGTTGTTGATGGTTTGACACACCATATCTACAATCTTGGTTCAGGTTTGTAATGCAACAACTCGCAATAATTTTATGAAAACTTGTGTCATGAGATTAAGAAGTTATCCGACCTTGTAGGAGACGACAAAACTCTGATCAACAAAGTTCAAGATCCGTACTATCTCGATCAAGTTGCACAGACATTCAAGGACGTCACTACAGGCATCCAAAGCTTCGGTCCGTGGACCGAAGCTTGGGTGGGAGAAGCCGGCGGTGCTTACAATAGTGGTGGCAAAGATGTTTCACATTACTTTGCTGATGGCTTTTGGTAAAATCCTTTTTTTCAATTCAGTTGCATAGGTGTAAGTATAACCAAATGAAACTATTGTAACCTTTTTTATTACATAGGTACTTGGATCAATTGGGGATGACATCAACTTTTAACCACAAAGTGTATTGCAGACAAGCCTTGATTGGGGGAAACTATGCCCTTCTCAACACCACAACTTTCATCCCCAATCCAGATTACTATGGTGCCCTCTTGTGGAACAAGTTGATGGGGAAGATAGTTTTGGGGGTGTCCCATGATAGTTCCCCGTACCTTCGCGCCTACGCCCATTGCTCTAGGCACGGGGTAAGCTCAAATAGAATATACTTCCTTCATTCCACATTAACTCTTTCTATTAAGGATTATTAGATACATTAGATTTTGAATGAATGTAAACTTAAATATGTCTACATTCACTCAAAACATAGTGTACGGAGTATCTAATTAACTTTAATAGACAGTTATTGTGGAAGAGAGGGAATCAAAATCAATTAACAATGATTTTAGCTAATTAGAGGGCCATAAAAGTTGTCATTTCTGGTTTTGTAAGACCATACCTTCATCTGATTTTCTTGTGCCAATCAATTTGTTGTGTTAATTAACTTAACTAATTTTTTCGATCATTTCAGAGCGGGGTTACAGTACTTTTGATAAATATGTCAAACTCCACAACCTTTGAGGTGTACGCGAGAGATGATTTGAACCTGTACCCGGGGAATCAAGCGAGTCTCCAGAGCGTTGACAACGAGCCTGAGAGGGAAGAGTACCATTTGAGCCCGGATGGCGGGAACATCCAAACCGACGTCGTTTTGCTAAACGGAACTCCATTGAAGATCACAAGAGAGTTTGACATTCCTGCTTTGAACCCAAAGCTGGTGGATCCTGCTTTGCCAATCACTGTTCAACCTGACTCCATTGTCTTTGCCACCCTCAAAGGCTTTAGGGCACCTGCTTGTGCTTAGGACACTGCACCCACCTTACTATTCTTAATTAGGTTTTAGTCCTTTCTTGGTAGTATGAACCATTAGATGTTGTTAAATCTTTTTTTTTTGGGATGATTAGAAAGCTATTTAGCATGAGGAAACATTTAATCCTAGTTGGTTTCTTTTAATTATAGATAATTATATCATGTTTTCTGTTTGCTTACATTCTAAATTCTAATTGCTCTCAGAGGGTGGTTGGAAATGTTATATAGAACAACACATAATTCTAATTGTTGATGTTACAAAGGTTTTATTGCAAAGTTTAAATACAAACGCATTTCTAAGGTATATGACACTCACTCACTCAGCTGCTGATCTCCTTCACCAGCCAATCCAGAGTCGGGTACGCGAAATACACAACCAGCGCCGCGGGGACGGCGAAGACGACGGTGATAGCCAAGTAGGCAATGAGAATGGCAGCGCTGGAAGGGATGGCAAATATGACCATGAAAACAAGCACGACCACGAGCGGGAACCTGGATGTGAAACGGATGAAGAAGTCGATTGATTTGTGGATGGAGAATTCCGGTCGTCTCCGGGGGGAATCGCCGCTGCCGTTCCCGAGGCGGCAGTTTCCGTTACCGGTGCCGAGTGCCGAATGGCCGGCGGTGGTGTTGTTCATGCGCGATGGGAGGTGATAGGTGCATGTGTGGGACCGGAACCGGTCCCCGTTTCGGCTCTCCACCATCCAGAGGAGGAAGAAGTTCTTGTTGGGGGCTTTAAGGTTCCCGCGGAAAATGAGCCGAAGGGTCAGCAGATTGCACCAAGGGCATGAGACGAAGAGCGGGACCCGGATTCGATGCACGGAGATGTTGAGAGAAGCCCATTTGAGTCCCAAGAGACAATTCTTGCATATGGTGTGTCCACACCATAACACATAGGGAACATTCTCCACTATGTTGAAGGACTCCCAACATATAGGGCATTCTAAAGCCTCCTCATTGGAGGACACATCGTCGTCATCTTCTTCGTCTGAGAACTGGTTACATGTACGCCTCGGCTCAACTGCACCCTTCTTCCTTCCAATGCTTGTGATGGCATTCCAAATAGACCTCCACATAACGATAGAAGAGAGCAAACCAAACACTGTTTTCTCAAGGTTTCATAAATCCGTTTTCGTTCCTGTTTGGTTAACCCCAGGGCTTATAATGATTCCTGCTCAAACACTTCCATCTTTTGCAAGCCTGAAATTTAAGAGTTGGATTGGACTATACTCTAAGGGCAATGTTAGAGGTACACCAAAATGAGGTACCCCATTTGTACATCAAGTAAAAACAGACACACACAAACGCTCAATAACTATGTGTGTCTGTTGTTTTTGTTTGGTGTACAAATGAGGTACTTTATTTTGGGACGGGGGATCCCTTGATGAATAGGTAGGGCCCCAGATATTGGGGGCAAAGTAACATTTTGTTTAAGCATATAATCCTGATCTAAGCACCTCATAACTTGATTAATGATCTAGACTCTTAAAATCAATCAAAGAGAACCAAAATACTGTACATCAAAGAGACATCTCTGCAAAAAAAATCAAAAATTCACTCATTAAAACATTGAAAAAAGCCTAAATCTGCAGAAATTCAGAATTAGATTTATATACTTTTTAAAAAAAAAATCCCAGCAAACAGATTGTTAACAATCTTCATATCAGATGCAGATATACAATGCACGCAGCAAGAATCGACATATCAGCGACGCCTAATTCCCTGATTGTTCTCTCCGAACAGAGGGAATGAAATTCGGAGAAGAAAACATGAACGATTATACATTGGATTTGCAAATTTGTTTGAAATTATTTTGGCAAAGTGTGAAGAAACTTACAGTGATTTCCAGAATAATGAGGAAGAGAAATCAAGAGATAGAGAGAGATGAGAAATGGTTGCGGTGCTCTCCTCACCGTCTCAAGCCTCGAAGACAACGAGAGCATATGTGTGAAGCTTTCTTCAATGTCTCTAGAAACTGTTAGTGCTTTTTCTAGAGTAATATAAATAGGGATTATGTTTTTTTAATTTTTGAATGGAAATAGAGAGTTTTAGAAAACAAAATCCTTCAAAATTCATGCTTTATCCAAATTTGGGAAAAATATTAAGAAACTCATTTTCCAAAAACCAAAAGTCATTTGCTTTATTTCCAACAAATTGCATGTTTTCAAGTGCTTTTTGTGTATAAGTTTCAATTATGAAATCGGTAACCTATAATTTGAACGCTAGAATTAATACATGAACCTTGTAATAAATCATATTGAAAATTGTATTCGACGATACAATTTTTATGAAATTGCCTGTATAATAATATATTTTCTTCATTGGTGAAACTGGTAATCAACAATGTGAACTTCAGAATTACGGAGTAATGTTGAAACCTGTGTTAAAACATATTCTCTTCGTCCCTACATAGTACGCACACTTGTATCGGTAAGTGTTAACATCGTACATTAGAGCCACCAAAACATGTAAGATGGAGTTAATGCCACGGTGATGACAGTGGATGTAGACAGATTCTTTTCTGGTAGAGTCGAGGATGCAAAAGAGGTGTGCATTTTGTCTAACTTTTCTTTAGTGATGGATGAACTCAGCGTCATATTCAAGCATATCATCTTGGTGCATGTTATTTGCGAGTGATATTGTATCGATTAGTGAAACGTGTAAAAAGGAAGGTAATGGATTGTCACAGATTAAAAGTGTGTAGAGTTACACAGATTCTGTAAGCATACATGAAATACAATTTACATGATGTTGTGTGGTGAGTTTGCCGTGTTATGTGGTGAGCTTGACGTCATCTCACTAATCCTCTCAGACCATTACTACTACTATTGAACCAAACGCGCCCTTAACTTTATAGCTCCCTTCCCTTCCCCCCTGCCCACCCAAATCCGAGAACTCCGAGGGGGATGATGGGCTGTCTATTGTGGGCCTTGCCGCCGAGCCCACTCATCTCACCGTGGACACAGTCTACTCACAAACCTCCGCGGCATCAGCAAAACAACATAGTCGCCGCCAATCGGTCCTCTCGATCACCGCCGCAACAGAAGAATCAAATCTCTCGCAAATCCGTCGTCTCTGCGGCCATCGCCGTCTTGCTATTCACTCCACCCGGTAACCATATTTTTACCGACTCCATTATTCACCTTCAATTCCATTGCAGGAATATAGTCTTCTCGTCCTGTCGGGTGCGGATATGAGTGACCATTTTAGCATATGGGCGGGTGCAGTTAATGCAGGATTGCTGTCGGGTTTTGGTGGGATGGAATCAATCCACGGGCCAGATTTACCTCAAATTGATTTCCTCAATCGCTTGAACGGTATGTGGTTTGTTAATTGTACCAATGCAATTGCCCCCTTTTTTTCAATATGATATGATATTTACCAAAATAATTATATTAATAATACTAATTCAGAAGAAAACCAGAAAAGGTATGCAGATGATGATGCCAGATTCAAAGAGTCTCCATTGCTTAAACAGCTGCTTGAGAAATCCAAGCTAAATAAAGAGAAGTATTCTTTCTTCATTGCCTAATTGTATACTAATATATGATCTCTATCGTCTAGTACGGGTAATGTCCGCATACATACTCCCTCCCCAAAGACTTTCTTTTCCCGGGATTTTACCGAGTTGTTGTATCTTCTAGATTTGTCGGGTATTTTTGGATATAGGAAAATGCTAGGGAAAGGAAAACATAAGTTGAGGGAAGTAATTGTGTTGTTGTTGGTTCTACTACAAAAAAAAATGCATTTGAAAGTGAAATTTGATTTTTTTTCCATATCTTGGTCTTTATAGTAGTAGTTTCCTCCGTGTTTTCTTTCGCTAGACCCATAATGTATCGTCCATCTGGATTATCACCTAGCTTCTAATGAAATAACATGTCAGCGAGATCGGCGACTCTTAGGTTCCGTTTGGATGAGTGCTTTGGAATGTGTTTGGAGGGAGAGGTTATGAAAGGTGCAGTCCATATCTTGATGATAAAAATGTTACTCCGTATTCAAAACGAACATATTTGTGACCAAAATGCTTTACGACCACCTATCGTGTCTGCCTTTCAATTTTTTACGTAGTATTAAATTTCAAATACTATACATTAAGATAAGCTCTTTACAGCTTCCCCTAACCCATCCATCCAAACATAACTTATGGTGCGTTGGTGGAGGGTTTTGAGTCGTTATATGATCTCTTATTTTGTGTTTGCCTTCATGTACTATTTACAACAGATTAGCCACATAGGATGAATGAAATTTTTAAATGGGTATGAACTATCACTCTCTTCATTCCCACAAAGATAGACTTTAATGTAATTGTGATGGGGTTAAGATATACCATCTCCTTCCGGATTTAGTTGTCCACCTCTCCTTTGTTGGACATCTATATTAGTTCTCCTTCGTTGTTGTTGTTGTTGATACTCCTAAATGGCAAAGTTTATATCAACGAAGATAAGTTAGCTTCAAGGATGTCTTTTGTTGTTTTACATTCATTCCTTAAATTTGAATTGTTTTGTGAAAGTGGATGACTAAATCTGGACGGATGAAGTAGTTGGAGTAGTTAATTTCATGTGGGATTCTTAACTTTTCCATTTTGTGAAGTTGATTCATGAATTACACCAATTACTTATATCTTGGAGTCCTTGAAAAGAAAAATTAAATAAAGGTAAACTTGGAAATACTACTCATAAAATTAAATGCACGCCTAGCAAGATAATAAAATTACATTTTCTTTTGCTATGTCCTATGTTTGTGATGTTGGATTCAGAAACCGACGGGCGATACAAGACAAGTATTGTATCCGTGGGGCCGAGTGGGGAATCGGGGATTGCTCTACCGCGGGGATGTCACAGGAAGACAGGGAAAACTTCATTTCTGCGTTGAAGCAGAAGGCGGGAGTAGTCGACTAAAGAACATCAGTTTTCACATATTAGTTCGCCGAGGTCTTTTGGGCCTAATGAGGTAACAAAAATCTTGCTTTGCAATAGGTTTTCCTTTATTTCTTATGGATATTCAACTGTTTTTTTAAGAACAGTTCTAATTTTTGAGTTTTTCACATTATTTGCAGGGAATCCCTTATTCCAAGAATGGTGCAAACTACTGCAAAACCCATTTTTAGAATGGTGTCTGCTATTTATTTGTAAATAGCAAAGATTTTTATGTGGTACACAACTGCTACTACATGATATCAACCTGCTTTGGTGTTTGTTGTTTTCTCTTACATTCA